GAAAATGAAAATGAAAATGAAAATGAAATAAAATATTCAAACTAAAAGCCTCCATAATGGTATGCACGGCCATTTTGGTGAAGCGGCGAGGCTTCGGGATGCAAAAAATGCTGTATTCAGTGTATAAGACACACCCACCAATTTTCAGCCTTTTTTTGGGGGGGGGGGAAAGGTGAATCTTATACCGAAAAATACAACAGTCAACTATACTTTCTTCTTTTCCTAAAATTTCTCTTATGTTCTTATTTAGAGAAGAAGAGAAATGAGGAACTCTTTCCCTGCTTCTTAACATATTCAAATATTAGTGCAACTTACAGAAATCAATCTCTCTTTCTCTCTCTCTCTCAAACTCTTTAAATCAGGTTAAACAAACAAGACAGGATGAATTTCTGCAAGAGTTTAAAGAAGGTAGGAAGCAGCAGCAGAGATTTTACTTGAAGCTCTTTTTTTACAGCAGTATCAGTTAGAGAAGCACTTCTATACCACACTTTATACATCTATCATGGGGCTCAAAGAACATAAAATATCTTTTTTCAGTCTCACTATTGCTAGGTATGATTTATTGTTTAGTCAAAGATGAATGAAAAAAGTTATCACATCTTCTTCAAGGCTTATTGAATTCCAAAGAACTTGGAAAGAGCCAGGCAAGATATTCTTCAAATGTCTGTTTGGCATTTCTTTGATTATTGGATTGATATATTTCCATCATTTCAAGATCACCAACAATTTCTAACCTCAGGAGTAGCTGCCATTTTTAAGTAAACAGCATACAATAGTTTCTGAACTGGATGAAGTGGGAGCATCATAGAAATGTTAGAAAAAAATAAATACTCATGCACTCCAGAAAGTTAAAAATATTCCTCACTGAAACCTTCAGACTGTCTTAGCAGGGAAGTTCCCTATTCATTGTGCTTTCAATACCCTTGGTAAAAAAAACACCCTTTGAAAATGTTATTTTACATACCCCATCTTCCTCTTCAATGATATCCTTCCCAATGGATGCCAGCGTTGTCCATTTGCAGTTATTAGTTGCCCGGACAGCACATCTCTTATGAGCCTTAAATTTGCACACTAACAACAAAAAAAAAAGCATGTGTGTATTGGGAAAAGCACATAATGAATTAAGCTGTGAGAAATTGTATTTCTCGTCTTTTGCATTCTTCATTTTTGGTGTCGGATTTTGTTTATTTATTTTTGGTTTTGGGCCAGTTTCTTACTTATTGGCAGAATCAAGAATCCATAAACTGGAAGCACCTATATTTTACTCATTACTATTTATAACTACAGCCATTTAATTTTTTATGAGTTTTATGAGCCTCTTTGCCAAATATCAGAGTATAAAATAAAACACTTCACTTCTATTAAAATTATTTTTACTATTATTATCTAATTAATGGATAATAGATTTTATAAGTTAATGTAAGCCCATAATTTCATGTGAAAAATGAAGTTATTATAAATAAATATTTACCTTCACAGGACAGCCCATGAGATGTGACCCCAGATAATGCCTCTCGACACACATTGCAGTATGTTGGACGTGCATGCGAGCAAGCATACCAGTTATGCATTCCTGAAAAATGGTCCATACTGTACTGGGTAGACTGCAAATTAAATTTAAAAAAAAAACTGAAGATGATTTAAAAATAAATATAACTTAAAATAAAATACTCATTTCAGTTTTATGAATCACGTTTTGTTTCAATACAAAGTTTATTAAATACAGAAAAACTGAGGAGTAAGAATGTCATTTCATAATTCAAGTGAGGAAAAAAGGTAAATAAACTGAACAGTACAGTGGGGAGAATGTAAGAAATGGATCTATATTTTTAACAAACATTACCTCAAAATGTTCACGATTCTGTACAGTTTTTAGTGCAGCAATCCAGTCTTCCATTTCTTTTCTGTTGTCAGCACATAAAATGAGTTTTCGACATGGGGTAATAACCTGTAAGGTAAGAACATTGTGTCCAAATCCCAGAAATACTAGATGAGAAGGGAAACAACAAACACCTACCTTATTAGAGTTTCAATTTTCAAAACAGCAGACTACTTTATCAGAGGTTCTGATTCTGGAGAGATAAAAGTATGCTATGATACTCTAGGATAACACTTTTTGTATAGTTTATGGGAAACTGTCCAGAGTGACTCTAAGTAAATGTGTCAGTGCAACATTTAATCATAGTATTAGTATATGATTAGAGATACAAGTGAGCAGAGATATCCTATTGCGCACATTCATTAACAGTCTGCCCCCCCAATTCTACATAATATTTCATTCAAACTTAACATGGCCCCTGAGACATGAAGACACATTTACATACTATAATTAGAGTTTAAAACAATGTCTGAGGAAACAAAGTAAGCTATTTTGAAGGTTTACACAAAAAGAGTTAAAACTCAAGAGATTCTCTTGAGGATAGAAACAATAACAACTATAAAACCCCCAAGACTATTCCTTTCCCAACTTTGAACTGCTCCAAACATTCTCCATTCATTGTAACATAGCAGCATGATACTCTCCCAACCACTTTTACCACCATAGGTATGCAATTTGCCTTGGTTCAATTGATAAAACTTTCCTTTTCAAACAGTAAAAATTTGCATTCCTATATTAGAGAAATGAATCCATGTCTTTAGCTTTTGAAATATGTGTCATGCAATTTTCAATATATACACAGATAAATAATGCTATGTGTTTCACAGATACACATACAAAGAGGGGTCAATCAAAGTAATGAGCTACAGTGCAATATAATTACACACACCAAAAACCGGTGGTGCACAGTGGTTAGAATGCAGTATTGCAGGCTAAATCTGCCAACTGCTAGCAATTTGATCCTGACCGATTCAAGGTTGACTGAGCCTTCATCTTCTGAAATAAGTCAAATGAGGACCAAGATTGTTGGGGGCAATTTGCTGATTCTGTAAATCACTTAGAGAAGTCTGCAAAGCAATGTGAAGTGGTATATAAATTTACTGTATATACTCAAGTATAAGCCTAGTTTTTCAGCCCACTTTTTGGGCTGAAAAAAGCCGCCTCGGCTTATACTC